GCTCAGTAATTCAAATACCGAGTAAAATATTTTCTCTTGATATTTTTACATGGTTCAGTAGAGCTCGTCACGCTCTACAAAACTGCATATATCAAAATTTTTTTATGCAATTTTTCCAAGATAAAAAACGTAAAAAAATTACTTGAAAAATTCTAAAAAATGTTGAAAAATTCGGTATTTTTATATTGAAGAAGAAAACTCGAGTTTTCAATAAAATTAACTTTGTTCATTATTTTTACTAACAAAGACATTTCGAAATGTATTCACTAGATGCAGTTTTCAACGCTTTATCTGATGAGTATATTTTTAAACGTCTTCGTTGGTAAGAATACTGAACAAAGTTAATTTTATTGAAAACTCGAGTGTTCTTCTTCAATATAAAAATATCGAATTTTTTAACATTTTTCAGAATTTTCCAAGTAATTTTGTTTACATTTTTTATCTTGGAGAAATGGCGTAAAAAAAATTTGATATATGCAGTTTTGTAGAACGTGACGAGCTCTACTGAACCATGTAAAAATATCAAGAGAAAATATTTTACTCGGTATTTGAATTACTGAGCGCTTTGATTTTCTATGCCAAAAAAAGTATCAAATTTCTGAATATTTCTTAAGTTCGACATTAAAAAGTTTTGACAACTCTTACTATTTAATACCAATAAATCCCATTTTCGACGGGCTTTAATCTGGTATAAAATTAGTTATGTTCGCCATTTGAAATAATAGTGTTACTTCCCTGGAAAAACATTTTTACGCACCCTGTATATTTATCGTACAAATTTTATTTTAATTTTCATCTTCAATTTAAAAATAGCTAAGATTGTTTTTTTTCTCAATTATTTAGAAATGAAAAACGAATTTTTTAAACTCATTGAGATGATTGTTTATAAAATGGGCATTGAAAAAATCGAAAGTATTAGTCGGACTAATAGAAAAGTGATTTTTTTTTTGTTTTAACTTTGTTGTTTTTATATCTATGTGTTTTATGTTTATAGTTATTGTATAGTTTGCAATGAAATAATCTATAAAATTCATAGTATGTATATGGAATTGGTTGAAGCAATACCTCTTGTGGATGAAGAATTACTTGATGCTTTCAAAAAAGTATAGAGTTGAATATTTCTTCGACTTTTTTTTTTATTAATCTTTTTCTGTTGCGTTTAGGGTTTTGAAAAATTAATTAGTTTTCTAAATCAAAGAAATAATCATCGACTTAAATTACGTATATTATTAGTACAATACTGTGATAAAGTTTTGCGCAAAGGATTTGTTTCTTCAATAAATTGTATTAATAAAATACTTAGATCTGTTGTTTTTTTTGACTAGAACTAGAATTGATGCGAATATCAGTTGTGAAGAAAAAATCAATCCAATAATGATTTGTGTTCAATTGTTATCTGTAGGATTCTTTTCTATTGATTTTTCGATTAATATTTGAGATCATATTCAATTTAGTAGATGATAAAGATATATTCGAAAGATATTATCGATTTAAGTTTGCGAAACGTTTAGATCATAATTTAGAAGTTCTTGATATTCGCTCTAATATGTATAGAACGAAAGAGACAAGCAGGTGTGGGGTGTGG